GATCCATTTTAAAAGTCAAATTTAAATTTTTTTTACCGTTGGAAATCCAACAACTCTGAGGAGGGCCACGTAGCCCTCATCTGGGTAAACACAAGTGGGCTGACAAGCGGGCCCCGCCGCCTGCACCCTTGTCTCTTACCCGCGCCCAGTCGCAAGTGTTCTGCACGCGCCAGCCAAATAGGTTGGCTTCTGGGTCTGTCCGAAATGGGTTGGCCTGTTGCCTGGCGTGGGTTGGGTGCCAGGCTGTTTTGCGGGCTGGAGCACTTGGACAGGGAGTTGGCCTTTGTTTTGGACAGGGTGCTGGGCTATTCCACCTCCGGTGGAAGTGCTCTCACGGCACCCCCATGCTAATTGCCTAGCCATCATCTCATTTTTTACTATTTATCCCAAAAAGCATCTTAAGTCTTTGGTTTGGTGTCATTATTATTCTCTCCCTCTATCTTAGCACCTTTTACTGCTTTACTTGCTAACGCTGTACAAATTTATTGGCAGGTAGTTAAAGATCCTTTTATCTATGTAATTCTCTTTTTTCTGTCTTTTATGTATAAAACAAATCTAATTAAATGTTTGTTCAAGACCGTCATTCATGCTCAGGACCTTTATCAAAGTTTAAACTCTACGATTCAAAACTTCCAGTGATTTTTTAATCCATCCAATTCTCAAATGCTATCCAAAGTCAACTCCCAAACGATCACACTGATCAAAATTGTTTACTACTCTACTACTCCATAGTATAATTTCCACCAAGTTTTTTCGTCTCCAAGGTCCAATTTTTCCTACTTCATCCAGCTCAATATCAAATCTTACTAGTGAATCCAATGTTTTCCACTAAGTTTTCCGGCCTTGTTTAGTATTGTCTTGCCTCTTATGGTTAAAAATCTTACTAGCTAGTTTACTATTTCTTCATATTTTAAGTGTATTTCACTTTAATTCAGGAATGAGATGATTAAAAACATTTATCGTCTTTTTCTATTGTTCATTTTAGTTCAAGACAAAAATAAGTGAACATCACACTGAAAACCTAAAGTCATCGATTTTCGAGGCGTATAAAAAACTTGTGCACGTCTGTTTTACTTTTGACGTACCTTTTAATGGGTTGTCCTTTGCAAACAATATTTTTTACTTCTCACAAACTTCTTGTTAATTTTTGACACATTCCGACCTGGAATGTCTACTTGGACTCCAAAATCGAGTTGTGCTGACCGACGGACCTGGACGGTGACGAGGCCATAAAGTGTTGTGTTGACCGACGGACCAGGACGATGACGAGGCCATAAAGTGAAGTGTAGTGGAAAAATGATGTGAATAAATTTAAACCTAAAAGTGTCTAATCAAAAGAATGCGCGGGTGAGCAGGATTGAACCCATTTCACACGTGATGTCAGAGCATAAGACAGTATAGTAAATAGGATGAGGGTTATACCACTAAAGATAACCATCTCCTAAGATTTGCTAGAATCCTCGTTTACACGTAAGCAAACCCATTAAACCTGGAGGGACGAAAAATAAAGTTGAGTGGGTCAGCAAAACAACGTTTTGTACAAAAACCTTCGTTTTCGAACATACTAACTCATCGCCGTAAAACAAGTATAGTTTCCTTAAAATCATACTACATATAAGTATGAAGATTTAATGTATACCAACAATATATATTAGAAATATGCCACAACAGGAATAATTCACAACAATAGAAATATAGGCATGTGCTTGACAAATATACTAGCACGCAAGTCAGAGTCACCTATGGCTCATCAATCTATATTAGCACACAAGTCGGAGTCACCTAACATGACAGGCTACGTGATATAATAATATACGTTCTAGCGCTACGATCACGTGAAGCTTGCGCTAAACGCAGTCACCTGACCTGTACGACAGGCTAACACCTAACTTGGATCCAAGATGAGCATGCGGTGCAAGAGGTGAACATACACGTGAAGGCTGGCCTTGGCCCCGAGCAGGAGCACTAACACCGGGGTGTAGTAATGATGAGCTAACTATATGAATATATGAATGCCATACAATTTGAATCAATATAATAAACTCACTTGAATTTACCTACGCGTGACGTAGAATCATTTTAGTATTCTACCACAGTACTATATATATAAGCAGGTAAAATGCATATGAATATGCCATAGCCATTTTATAATTCCAATCAAAAAGCAACATTTACCAAACTAAACTAAAATTATGGCATAATAGGCGTAAATCCATTTAAATGCATTTGTAGAAACTATAATTCATATATATATATATATATATATATATATAAGTAAACTGCCCACTCACAGATATGCAGTCGAAACGAAGCCTCCGAGCCTTGATTGACCCCGTACGTCCTTGGGATACGTTTCCCCTATATGTGAAATTACTAATTAACTTAGGTTAATAACACATAAACGGAAACTTAAATAAAACCTCCGTAGATTGTTCAAACATAGGGTTTGAATATACGAAATTGATCCACTCGACGTCACGGATCTACACAAAAATTTAGAATAATTTTTGGATGCTGGACGCGCCGCCACGCTGCGACTATGGCACGGCCACACGCGCCAGCCACGCAGAGCTGACGGAGGCCTAACGACCGTTAAGAATATTCCGTTAAAAGGTAACAGAAGTTAACGGCGTTACCCGACGCCGTTAGAATATTTCGTCAAAGTTGACGAAATATTCCGTCAAAGTTGACGAAATATTCCGTCGTCTTCTCCGGTGGTCCTTGCCGGTCACCGTCATCCGCCGTTGTCTGAACTCAACGGAATTTGGAAATTTTCACCAGTTTCTGGGTAAAGTTTCAAACCTCCATATCTTCTTCATTTCTCAACCATTTTTTCCCAAAATTAATATGGAAATGAAGCTTATGTAGAGTATAATCGCGTTATACCTTTTTGAAGTCCAAAAAGTGGACGGAGGTGGTTTGAAAATGCCTTGAAAGGTACGGCCAAAGCTAAGACTTCTTGAAATTGGGTGGTTTCATGTCAAAACTTCCTCAAACTTGTCTTAGGAACCTCGGGGAGTTGTGTAGAGGCTTCCCTGAGTCTTAAAACGCCGTGACTCGGTCTGAAAATCGTCAATCTAGAACTCACCGAGTCGAGGCTTCCGAGTTGGTGAGTCAAACCTTAACCTAACTGAGATCTGGTTACGAGTTGGAGCTTCCGAGCCTTTTGGTTGGTTTTATTAAACAAGCGTATACCGTGTTAAATAAGCAGACCGGTTAAATTAATCAGGCGCTTATTTAGTATGAGTGAACGCCAAACACCCAAGTCTGTATAACTAGTCCTATCTGATCCTTTATTTGATCTGCCAAATAGGGCCTTAGACTACTTGTACTGCAAGTTCAGAGTACAACTAAACCCCATAGAAAATTTAAAAGCAAAACTTTCACTTTATACTAATAATTCATTACATATTGGTACTTTCTCTTAACTTATACAATGGCGGCCGCAATGATGTATCTGCATTAGATTGGATTACGAATTACTTGAAAGGCTTTTTCATTTATATGTCTCATTAATCCCTTTTTTTTCCTGAACTTGCAAATTGTGACTTTTTTTTTCCTGTAGTTTGATTTAGGGTCTCAACTCAATTAGTTATTCGAGAAAATCGTTAGTTTGACTATTGTGAAACTAGAGTCAAAACAAAAAAAAAACTACGAATTTCGAAGAAACGTTACACCAATCAAATCAATAATTTTGATGAAATGAATAACATGTGACACCAAATAAAAATAAAGAGAGAAATCACCCACAGTTACAAATTGGAGCGAAAAATTATATTACAATCAAAACGTATTGTATAAACTATTAGCCTTTGGCACACACACATCTGCAGAGGTTACTTGGATTTGCAAACTCTTCAAGGACATAGCATTTCCTCTTTCTAAAGTTCTTGTGCTTTGGTGTGACAATGTATCTGCCATCTCTCTAACATCTAATCCTGTTTTCCATGCTAGAACCAAACACGTCGAAATTGACTATCACTATATTCGGGAACTAGTCTTAGCTTCTCTCCTTCAAGTTCGATTTGTTCCCAGTCATCACCAAATTTCAGATATTCATACCAAATCCTTGTCCAAAGCTCGATTTCAGCTTCTCAAATCCAAGCTTTCCCTTGGTACTCCTCCGTTCAGCTTGAGGGGGTGTAAAGAGACATATCATTCTCAACAGTCCAAGTCATCAATACAGTCAGCAGTAGAGTCAACAGTTACTTAGTGTAGAAGTTTTGTTTGTTGTAACTGCATTATAACTAATCATAGATTAAGGTTAATTAGTTACGTTTGTTAATAACTAATGTTTATTAACTGATTTGTATAAATACCCAAATGTAAATCTTTTAATCAATGAGAAATATATTTTTAATATATCTGCATTAGATTGGATTACGAATTACTTGAAAGGCTTTTTCATTTATATGCCTCATTAATCTTTTTTCTTTTTCTTTTTTTTTTCTGAACTTGCAAATTGTGACTTTTTTTTCCTGTACTTTGATTTGGTGTCTCAACTCAATTAGTTATTCAAGAAAATCGTTAGTTTAACTATTGTGAAACTAGAGTCAAAACAAAAAAAAAACTTCGAATTTCAAAGAAAACGTTACACCAATCAAATCAATAATTTTGATGAAATGAATAACATGTGACACCAAATAAAAATAAAGAGAGAAATCACCCACAATTACAAATTGAAGCAAAAAATTACATTACAATCAAAACGCATTGTATAAATTATTAGCCTTACCTAAAAGTAATACGCTTTTTTTTATTTTTAAGTTTTCAATGAAAGTAGCACGTAATTCAGCTTCTTATTGTTTGGAAGCTTCAAGTTTGAAGACGAAACCCCACCACCGAAGACTAATGCTACCGACCATATATAGCACGTAATTAGGCACATCACAAGCGAAAGTTCCTTGAAACCTAACCTCATCCATAGTATATATACCACATTCTGACTTCCCTGAGTGCAACTCAATTCCATATCTAAGAATCAAGAACATAGTTTTAAAATGGAGGATTTGCGCCAAATAGCACTTGCATACTTCAAGGATGCGTCGAAGCAAATTCAACGGTTGGTAGATGAGTTTTTCTCCGAAATGGATGTTGACGGGAATGACCGAGTGAGCTTGCAAGAGTTCACGGAATACATGGAGAGGTATGAAGATTGCAAGCATCTGTGTAACTCCCTTTTTTTCGACGAACTGAAGAAGGAAGGACATGAAGAGCTTGATTTCGTGGACATGATGACTCTCTTCTACATTGTTTATAGTGGAAAACCTTTTTGTAACGGGCAGTGCAAAAAATTTATCAAGGGAGTTTATTTCGCTTGTGTCAAATGCTTTGACGATTATGCCACTGATGCCATCAACACATTCAATGTTTGCACTGCTTGTTATTCTGAAGGCAAATATGTCCATGGCCACGACAAACTCCTAGATAGCTTCCTGCTTCTTCAAAGTAAGAGGATGACAGTTTTGAACCAACGAGCAACGTCAGTCACTAATAAGGTACTTATGGATAGTATCGTTCTATTTTACATCTTTTTTCCAACTTGAACCATCCACCTTCGACCTAGACCCAGTATTTTAGGCCCAGGCACTAACATATTAATTAAGAATCTACGACAGCTGATACAATTTGATTATAGGAATAAAAGATGTTATTCTTACCATTTATATGTATCATCTCTCTAATAGAGATAGTACCCATATGTTTGGTGGCTCTATCTCTATTAAAAAGATGATACAAATAGATGGTAAGTGTAACATTACTCTACATAAAATTGCTAATCGCATACAAGGCTTTGTTTGGTGTCTGGGTCGTTTCTGATACCAACCTATAGGCTATAGTGTGTTGGTCGTCGGGAAAGTATAATTTCTTTTTCTGAAGTGTGGACTACTAGTACTGCCAATACAATGACCAAAATGAAATTTCGAGTAAACTACATTGACCGTTAGTGCGATTCTATCTTTTTATTTGGCAAACCTTCAAGTTTCAGCCATATTACCATAGTTTCGTGGACAAATAAAAAAAATATTCTCAATTGGATCTTGCCTACATCGCTCAATTATTGAAGTTAGTTAATGAAAAACGAGTAGATGAGACGAAGTACACATTTTAGACTACTTGTCATGCAAGTTCATAGTACAACCAAACCCCGTAAAATTTTAAAAGCAAAACTCTCACTTTATACTATACTAATAATTCTTTACATATTGGCATTTTCTTTTAATTTATACAATGACGGTCGCAGTGATATATCTGCATTAGATTAGATTACGTAATACTTGAAAGAACTAGCAATTTGTGTGACTTTTTTTATGTCTAGGTCGTCGGGAAAGCATATTCTTTTTCTATGAATGCGGACAACCAGGACTGCCAAATATAATGAAATTTCGAATCAACTACATTGACCATTAGTCTATTCCTTCTTTTTGTTTAGCAAACTTTCAAGTTTCAATCCATATTTACCATTTTCGTGGACAAATAAAAAACTTATTCTCAATTGGATCTTGTCGGCATCCCTCAATTATTGAAGTCGGTTAATGATAAGCGAGTACTTGTCCTGCAAGTTCAGAGTACAACCACACACCATAGAGAATTTAAAAGAAAAACTCTCACTTTATACATATTGGTATTTTCCCTTAACTTATACAATGGCGGTCCTAGTGATATATCTGCATTAGATTGGATTAGTTGAAAGGCTTTTTCATTTATAATGTCTCATTAATCTTTTATTTTTCTTTTTGAACTTGCAAATTGTGACTTTTTTTTCTTGTAGTTTGATTTGGTGTCTCAACTCAATTAGTTAGTTAAGAAAATCGTTAATTTGACTATTGTGAAACCATAGTCAAAATAAAAAATACTTCGAATTTCGAAAAAAAACATTACACCAATCAAATCAATAATTTTAATGAAATAAATAACATGTGGCACCAAATAAAAATAAAGAGAAAGATTATCCACGTTATAAATTGAAACGAAAAATTATATTACAATCAAAACGTGTTGTATAAACAATTAGCCTTACCTAAAAGTAACACTTTTTTTTTTTCAATGAAAGTAGCACGTAATAAAGCTCCGTATCGTTTGGAAGCTTCAAGTTTGAAGACCCCACTACCGATGACAAATGCTGCCGACCTTCTTTAGCACGTAATCAATGACGTAATTAGTGACGACTCAATCAGTGACGTAATTAGTGACGACTCACAAGTCACATGGCTAATGCTACAGACCTTATATATTGCCGGTACTTAGTGACGTAATTAGTCACAAGTCACATGACTCACGTAATGAGTGACGTAATTAGTCACAAAACCCTGATCCATAATATTACGCGCACACACACCACTTTCTGACTTCCCTGAGTGCAACTCAAATCCATATATAAGAATGAAGAAGATAGTTTTAAAATGGAGGATTTGCGCCAAACAGCATTTGCATGCTACAAGGATGCGTCGACGGAAATTCAACGGTTGGTAGATGAGTTTTTTCTACGAGATGGATCTTGACGGGAATGACCGAGTGAAACTAGAGTCAACGCAATTAGTTAGTCAAGAAAATCGTTAATTTAACTATTATGAAACTAGAGTCAAAACAAAGAAAACTTCGAATTTCGAAAAAAACGTTACACCAATCAAATCAATAATTTTAATGAAATGAATAACATGTGACATCAAATAAAAATAAAGAGAGAAATCATCTACAATTACAAATTGAAAAAAAAAAATTACATTACAATCAAAACGCGTTGTATAAACAATTAGCATGAACCTAAAAGTAACTGGCTTTTTTGTTTGTTTTCAATGAAAAGTTGCACGTAATATTTAAGCTACTTATGAGTGACATCAAATGCGAAAGTTCGTTGAACCTAACCTCATTCTGAATGCAAGTTGCACGTAATATTTAAGCTACCTAAAGCCCTAATCCATAGTGTGTCTATATAACACCACATTCTGACTTCCCTGAGTGCAACTCAAATCCACATCTGAGAATCAAGAAGATAGTTTTAAAATGGAGGATTTGCGCCAAACAGCATTTGCATACTACAAGTATGCGTCGACGGATGTTCAACGGTTGGCAGATGAGTCTTTCTACGAAATGGATCTAGACAAGAACGACCGAGTGAGCTTGCAAGAGTTCACGGAATACATGGAGAGGCATGGAGATTACGAGCATCTGTGTAACTCCCTTTTTTTCGACGAACTAAAGAAGGAAGGACGTGAAGAGCTTGATTTCATGGACGTGATGACTCTCTTGTACATTATTTATAGTGGAAAACCTTTTTGTAACGGGCAGTGCAAAAAATTTATCAAGGGAGTTTATTTCGCTTGTGTCAAATGCTTTGACGATTGTGCCACTGATGCCACTAACACGTTCAATGTTTGCCCTGCTTGTTATGCTGATGGCAAATATGTCCATGGCCACGACAAATTCCTTGATAGCTTCCTGCTTCTTCAAAGCAAGAGGATGACAACTTTGAACCAGCAAGCAGCGTCAATCACTAATGAGGTACATATGAATAATATCGTTCTATTTTACATCTTTTTGTTTCCATTTGTTTTATCATATTACATCTATTGTTCTATATTACATATGAGCAATATCTAATTCCTTCGTTTTCCATTTGCTTGAACAATTTTTATGTAATGCTAGTCAAAGGCACCCGAGTATGGAAGTACATCGGAGACAAGCAATTCGTCTTCTCCAGCTCCTCCTCGTCCACTCACACCTCATGCATCCAATGCAATGGTTCCCGTTAATCCAAGGCCTAAAAATGTAATTAGATGCCATTCCCCTCTTTCTTATTATTATGGACAGCCTAGCATTCTCATACATACATACATACGTACATACGTGCATATAAATTCTTAACATATTAGACTTCTTAATTGCTGACTCAGTAACCATTTTTGGGTGCGCGTATTAATTTTCAGAGTGCCGGGAGGAAAGCATTGAAGACGATAGAAATGCTACTGGCCCTGGGAAATATCTTTGCTGCCACTCAGTGCACCATCATGTGAAGATCTTCTACCAATTATACCAAGTTCAATCAACCTGGCAGTTGTAACCAAACCAAGTTTTCTGATAGTAAACTCGATAAAATGAAGGGTTTGATCACAAATAATCCCTGCCACGTGGGAAACTCATTTTCGTCCACATATAATGCTTCAAATGGATCAATGTCGCCCCCTATGTTTTCCTCGTTGAAAAATATTAGTATTATGGTTATTTGATTATTTGAGTTTGGTTGTTAGTTTGGTATATGAGTTTTGTTCATCCGAATTAAAGTTTATAAGTTTTGCTCTCTATAAATATATCTTATAGTTTAGTATGAGGTTAAGTTAGTCACGATGTAATCTCTTGCGGTTTTGTAGTCGTTTCGACGTTCTCGTTTGTTTAATAATATGACATTCTTGTTTGTTTAATTATACTTAATTTGACAATCTGGCACATTTTTACTATTCTACTTAATTTTGTATTGTTTAATTTCCAGTTATAACTATGTCAGTTTAGGATGCAAAAAATATTTTGGAGATATAAAAATGATGGTTTTGATGAATAATGATTTTTAGTGATTCACCTTTATTCTTTTTGTGAACTTATTGTTCTCTCTCCTTTGCTTATTTAGCTTAATTCCGGTCCCTTATCAGCGTATTTGTTAGTTTGAAACTTTGATTCAAGTCTTTTATTATTTTACCCTGACAACTCATCTTAACAATATGCAATATGTCCTGTTAATTACTCTCTCCAAATTAACCCCAATATATTATCCTAAACCTATCATGTATATCACGTAGAGTAATTAATTTGATTTTCAGATTTTAGTTCTATATCAACACTGCACAACTGTGGACAAAACCAGTTAGAAGCCACAACAAATTCCATTCCGTATAATTGTTCAGGGTTTACTCTTTGCACCCAGAAATCAATTTTTTGTTTGGTCTTACCAACCCACGGAACGCAAAAACTAACTTTTTCTTTCGATCATTGTACTCATATATATTAGGTCACATTTATATGAATAAGCAATATAGGGTGCTTATTCTTCATCGTATAGTTGCGTGGAAGGTTTTTTTACCTTTGCTTTTTTATGCCAATTGGAACCAGATGCTCTTGTTTAATGCCCCTAAATGCCAATTGGAACCAAATGCTCCTAAATGCTCCTGTTTAATATAACTAGTTTGTATGCAGTGCATGCAAAAAAAAAAGTGCTAAGTTCTATATATATAAGTATAAAGAGAGACGGAGAAAGAGTAGTTAGTGTTGATGTGTGGAGTTTAGATAGATGTGAATTGTTTTGCCAAGCTTATGATTATCAAGGTGAGTGGTTTATGTAATGTGTTGCAAATATTAGACCATAAAAAATATTTCATAGAATTTTCTCCAATTAAAAGAAAAGAATCGCAACAATGTAAACTGAAACAGAAAGAAACGGAGTTAATTCACCTACGAGATCAACCTAGCTAATATTGCAAGAGGCAAGTGATAACGCACAATTGCATGGGACATAAACCTAAAGTACGAAGGCCAGAAAAAATTTAATTACCCTTCTCTATTTCCTCCATCAATGATCTCTGAGAATGAATCATACTTACCTTCTGAGTTGTGAGAATGAATCATACTCTGGAGTCTGCCTTGCCATGTTGTCAAAGGAATGGCTAAACCACGATGTTTCTCCCTCCATGATCAAGAGGAGTAAAGTGAAAAGAACCTGAACACAAATATAAAACAAAAAAATTCTTATCTAGAAAATACAATACACAAAATTATGTTAATGAGATTCTCTTGCCATTACATATTAATGAAATTCTTATCTAGAAAATACAATATATTTGTTTTGAAACGCATGGTCCAAACCAATACGAGTCGGAGACTCAAACCAATTCAAAATTGACAAATTAACGATGGCATATCAATTCCAGATGACAGCTATATTTACTCTCTCATCTAATATGATTGACTGATTCACGACACAATAATCATCAGACAATACTGCTCACTTCTACCTTTAATAATTACATAAGGGGAATGAAACATGATTCCGATTAATCCAAAGGCTACACATAAGCAGAAATCTATCCACCTTCCAAGATTTTTATTCGTTATTCCCACAGCAAAGATTCATTATCCAGAATCCAAATCAATATTCATTCTAAAATAAACGACTTGGTAAACCTTCAGACACTCCAATTGAAAAGCAAAACAAAAGAAAGCACTGTAGATGCAGCCAGAAAGTACATACGGTCTAGGTAATTGAATACCAGAAATTCGATACAGGAAAATCCCATAGCTTCAAAATTATGGATGTGACAGAGAACGCAGCATAACCAAATTATATCTAACAGAAATTCTATCTCTTACCAAAACAGAAAAATCAAACACACAACTAATGAACCACATGTAACATTGCATGCAATGATGCAAACCCAGAAGAGAAATGATATCAAAATAACACTTCTCAGCAGCATATGGCCAATACTAATTGCAGAAGTTTACAACCCGCATCCAAAACAAGAGCAACAAAATAAAAAAGGGGCCTTTATAATTAGATTTGAAAGCAAAAACTTGTGCTTTTTCAATGAAATCAAACCCTAAGAGAGATTTGCGACTTCAAATATATTCAATAAAGTTAGATGAAAAGCTATTAGTTCTACTTGAGAAGGGTTATTTTTTCGTCTTTCTTACACTAAAATGGCGTATGCGCTGTTGTATGCATTGAGATTTGTGACTTCAATTCATTTATAGTACATTACATACTACTAGAGAAGGGTGATTAAAATTTCAATTCAACCTGTAGAACTAATTCCATCTGCAGAATTCAATCACCACACAAGAAACTAAAGCTGACATTGGAGAAGTCCTATATTTTGCTTACTGGAAAAGAAAACAATCGACGAAAAAGAAATGCATATTAGTCCACTGACATTTTGCGGTTGTTAAACAGAAGGTCTCACACCGGCAGTTTCGCCAAGGATGATTATATTGTTGACATTCCCACTTCCATCCCTTTCAGAACATCATCTTATCATTACTTGTAGTAATACCAGCAGAACATCATCTTATCATTACTTAAAATGAAAATTAGATGAGCTCATCGTGCGACATTTTCAAGATTACCTAGTCTAACAAAACTTAAAAAGATTGACAAGAAGCAATGCATTGGCCTGATAGAAAATTCAACACTAAGAATTAACGAAAAGCATTAGATCTCATGTTTTTATTCTAATCTTAAAAATCAAAATAACGCAAAGATTTTCGCTTACTTTCCTTTCTAACTACAGCCGTAGCATATTACTATCTTGCATTTAAAAGCGATTTGATAATTCTGATCTGAGCTTCAGCCATGCAATTAAACGTCAAAAAAACTAACCCTAACCAAAATTGAAAATTAATTTACCAACATTATAATACCTTGCTTCCAACGACGACTACGGCTGCGTAAATCGGAGATGCAAATTGTGGAATCAAACTTGAAGTTTTGGAAGGATCGGCTCAACCTTGACCGTTGGACATGGAAGCACGAAGAAGAAAGGATAAACAGTAGAGAGAAGAAGAAAGTACAAATCATTTCTTTCTTTTGTTACCGTTACAACTGAAAGGCCAATCCTTTTAAAGCCGAATACCACACCTCAAGGCTCAAATGTGTGAATGCCAGCTCGCAATACAGAACAGACTTATTTAAATCTAGCCCAATAACTAAAAGCTATTACAAATTGGCCCAATTTCATTAATTGTATAACATTCTAGCTACCCGTAACTTTTCAAATAAACCAAAGCCTACCTAGGCTAAAGGGCTTGTCACCACCAAAAGTCAAACACCACGTTCTCCATTCCATCACTTAATATTTCAAAAGCTCACGGCACCTCATGTTAATTGCCTAGCCATCATCTCATTTTTTACTATTTATCCCAAAGAGCATCTCAAATCTTTGGTTTAGTGTCATTATTATTCTCTCCCTCTGTCTTAACACCCTTCACTGCTTTACTTGCTAACGCTGTATGAATTCATTGGCAGGTAGTTAGAGATCCTTTTATCTATGTAATTCTCTTTTTTCTGTTTTTTATGTATAAAAGAAATCTAATTAAATGTTAGTTCAAGACCGTCATGGTAAGATCGAGCACGAAATGCCATAGCTAATGGGTCGATTTACCTTCATCTATAAATAGAAGCAAAGCCATTCATGCTCAGGACCTTTATCAAAGTTTAAACTCTACGATTCAAAACTTCCAGTGATTTTTTAATCCATCCAATTCTCAAATGCTATCCAAAGTCAACTTCCAAACGATCACACTGATCAAAATTGTTTACTACTCTGCTACTCCGTAGTATAATTTCCACCAAGTTTTTTCGTCTCCAAGGTCCAATTTGTCCTACTTCATCCAGTCCAATATCAAATCTTACTAGTGAATCCAATGTTTTCCACTAAGTTTTCCGGCCTTGTTTAGCATTGTCCTGCCTCTCATGGTTAAAAATCTTACTAGCTAGTTTACTATTTCTTCATATTTTAAGTGTATTTAACTTTAATTCAGAAATGAGATGATTAAAAACATTTATCTTCTTTTTCTTTTGTTCATTTTAGTTCAAGACAAAAATAAGTGAACATCACACTAAAAACCTAAAGTCATCGATTTTCGAGGCATATAAAAAACTTGTGCACATCTATTTTACTTTTGACATACCTTTTAATGGGTTGTGCTATTCAAACAACATTTTTTTACTTCTCACAAACTTCTTGTTAATTTTTGTCCTTTAATCTTCTTCAATTCAACCCATCTTACGACAAAAAAATAAAAAAAATAAAAAAATGTGTGAGAAGTAAAAAGGGGTGTGTAGATATCACACCCCTTCTTTTATTTGCTATTGGAATGAACAAAATAAAGTAGAATTAGAGGTTATACATCGAATATTAAAACCCGTGTGCATAAAATCACTTCTTTAGTTTAGATATAGTTTTCATATTAAAACAAATTTGTCTCCAATTAATAATTATTTTAGTAGATAGAGTATATGGAGTGTAAGTTCAGTGCAAACGGAGGCTCAAATGAGTTAGGGGTGAGGATTGAAGATCTGGAAGTACCAAAGAGCGACCGCTTTCGCTACCTAGGATTTATCTTGCAAAAGAACGGAGAGTTGGATGGAGACCTCAACCATAGAATACAAGCTGGATGGATGAAGTGCAAAAGTGCATCCGGCGTATGCCACTGAAGCTCAAGGAAAAATTTTATAGGACAACAATAAGGTCAGCAATGCTTTATGGCATATAATGTTGGGCGATGAAGTATAAACATGTACATAAAATAGGTGTAGCAGAGATGAGAATGCTTCTTTGATGTGTGGGCACATGAGAAAGGTTAAGATTATGAATAAGGATATCCAAGGTAAAGTAGGAGTAGCCGAAATTGAAGAAAAAATGAGAGAAAATCGGTTACGGTAGTTTTGGACGTGTGAAACGAAGGCCTACTGACGCTTCAGTTAGAAGATGCGATTATGGGACAAAGGTTCAGGGCCAAAAGGGTAGAGGAAGAATTTGGAAGAGACTCTAAGAAAAGACTTAGAGTACTTGGATTTAATGGAAGATGTGGCACAGAACCGAGCGTAATAACGTTTTAGGATTCATACAGTTGACCCCATTTAATAGGAAAAGATTTTGTTGTTATTGTTGATAATATTCTATGAAAGTTCGAAACAAATCTCAACAATTGGAAAAAAAAAAAGGTCTCAAACTAAAAAAATAAAATAAAATAAAATCTCAAACATAATAGAACACATAGGTAAGTAATATAATCACCTTCAAATCAATATTTAAACTTTAACATCACTAACAAGTAACAAGTAAAAATTCGAACACAAGCACATATGAAAGCACTAGTACAAAAACATGTTTACGTGACTCAGCAAATTTTGTTGCGCAAAGTATGTTTGCGCGACACTAAACAGACAACGTCGCACAAATGGCCTTTCCGCAACAACACTTTGTGTGACGAAGACTGGCGTCGCGCAAAGCTGTTTTGCTCGATGAAGGCGCACCTACATCGTGCAAAGGCCATTTGCGCGACATTTTCTGCGTCGCGCAATATTTTGGCGCCAAACCAAGATGCTTTAGCGCTTTTTTACCAACTTTGCGCGACGCAGGTGCACTTACGTCGCGCAAAGCTGTTTTGCACGACGTTTACATATGTAAATGTTTTAAATTGATGATCGAATTAGTTCATTGTATTCATATAGGGTTAAGGAATGTAGCTGAAAAAAATCATCAAAATTAGAGTTAAAATAAACGTTAAATGGTGATTTTTTGTTTATAACTGTCGAAAAGGTTTGTCCCGTTACATAATCTCTGAATGTTTGTATTTTACGATTTTTGGTGTATGCGATCTCGAAGCATATACAAAAAGGTTTGACGATTGGATCGTTAAAACTAGTTTCGTAAAATGCGTATCCCATCAAAACAATAGATTCACTAACACTTGGAGTTTATTTATACTTTCATTAAGTATAACATAAGATTTTGTGTTATTCACTTGTGTAAATATTTTAAATTGACGATCGAATTAATTGATTGTATTCATATACGATTGAATTAGTTCATTGTAAAAAAATCATCAAAATCAGAGTTAAAACTACCGTTAAATGGTGATTTTTCATTTATAACTGTCGAAAAGGTTTGTCCCGTTACATAATCTTTGAATGTTTGTTTTTTTCGATTTTTGACGTATGCGATCTCGAAGCATATACAAATAAGTTTGATGGTTGATCGTTGAAACTAGTTTCGTATAATGCATATCCCATCAAAACAATAGATTCACTAACACTTGGAGTTTATTTATACTTTTATTAAGTATAACATAAGATTTTGTAGTATCTACTTGTATAAATATTTTAAATCGATGATCGAATCAGTTCATAAGCAAAAGGGGAACAAAAAAACACTTTACACGACGTAGGTAAGCCAGCGTCGCGTAAAGATGTTTTGCGCGACACAAGCATACCAACGTCATGCAAAGTGTTTTTTTGTTTTTTTTTTCCTTTTTGCTTTTATTTTGGGGTTCTTGCATTGCCTTTTTCTTTTGTGGTATCCACTTGTGTGAATATTTTAAATTGACGATCAAATTAGTTCATTGTACTCATATAGGGTTAAGGAGTGTAGCTGTAAAATAATCATCAAAATCGGAGTTAAAATAACTGTTAAATCGTGATTTTTCGTTTATCGCCGCCAAAAAGGTTTGTCCCATTACTTGATATCTGAATGTTTGTTTTTTTTTTATTTTTGGCGTATGCGATCTCGAAGCATATACAAACAAGTTTGAAGGTTGGATCGTTGAAACTAATTTCGTACAATGCATATCTCATCAAAACAATAGATTCACTAACACTTGGAGTTTATTTATACTTTCATTAAGTATAACATAAGATTTTGTGGTATCCACTTGTGTAAATATTTTAAATTGAGGATCAAATTAGTTCATTGTATTCATACAGGATCAATGAGTGTAGCTATAAAAAATCATCAAAATCGGAGTTAAAACTACCGTTAAATAGTGATTTTTCATTTATAACCGTCGAAAAGGTTTGTCCATTTACATAATCTCTTAATATTTGTTTTTTTTTAATTTTTGGCGTATGCGATCTCGAAGCATATACAAACAAGTTTGACCGTTAGATCATTGAAAATAATTTCGTACAATGTGTATCCCATCAAAACAATAGATTCATTAATACGTTGAGTTTATTTATATTTTCATTAAGTATAACATAAGATTTTGTGATATCCACTAGTGTAAATATTTTAAATTGACGATTGAATTAGTTCATTGTGTTAATATAGGATCAAGGAGTGTAGATGTAAAAAATCATCAAAATTAGAGTTAAAACTACCGTTAAATGGTGATTTTTCGTTTATAACCGTCAAAAAGGTTTGTCCCGTTACATAATATCTAAATGTTTGTTTTTGTCGATTTTTGGTGTATACGATCTCAAAGCATATACAAACAAGTTTGACGGTTGGATCGTTGAAAC